AAACTTATATAAATATCCTTGGTTCTTTCGGTAAAGTCACGTTGAAGGGAAACAATAAAATAAGAAAATATATATATAAAACAATAAAATTCTCACGACGTTTCGACTGCAACACAAGCAGTCATCATCAGGTGTGAAAACCAACGGCAAGAACGTCGTGAGAAATTTTATTTATTTTATATATGTTTTATTGTTTCCCTTCAACGTGACTTTACCGAATGAACCAAGAATATGGAATCACTGCAGTCACGAAAGCTCTAAATCAAAACTTTATATAAACTCTTACCGGTAACAGCTTCGCTTGCACAAGGGAGCGGAGATCGAGCTGTTCGCAGCAGACATCGCAGCTGTCGTGATTTTCACCTGAAGAAGGGCGCCTGCGATGCGTTCGAAACGTCGTGATTGATTTCATTTTATTTCTACCTAAAGTTACGAGCCAGTTGGACAATAATGTAAATGCCTCTTTTTTTTTTCCACAGCGTACGCTACGTTTCGTTTCTTCGTTCGAATAAGCGACGTTTACGTGCCAAAAAGTTTTTTTTTTGGACGGGGGGAGGTGGCGGGGAGGCGGAGGAGGAGTAAATCGATAACCATTAAAAAAAATCGAACCCGTCCTTCAAAAAAAAAAACTCTTACGGCTACATCGGGAATGAAGAGCAGAGTCAAATTTATTATTTTGTTGTTTCCCTTCAACGTGACTTTACCGAAAAAAACTAAGAATATCCAGAACCCCGTCGAGTTAAATACGATGTCGGGACGTGGCGAATGCGCTTCAGGTGACAACACACGGCACGCGCGCTCTCCGTTGCTGTTCTGACGACGCTCGTCGCAGTTTCGAACGCGAATCTCTGACGGTGGCGATTGCTGCCCACGTGGCATCGAATCCGACACCGTGGAGACAGCGGCGAGGGTTGGTGTGGATCTTGGTGTGGATCTCCACACCCCTGGCTCTGCCCGGGAGAAGAAGGGACCGTCCATAAATGACGTCACGCACCTGGCGGAGGGGGGGGGGCAGACATTTATTGTGACGAGGGGGTGCGGGGGGGGGTAGAAATGTGACGTCACGTAAAAATGGACAACTTTAAATAAATATAGACAACACGTTCTACTTAATTAAATAGGCTTTTTTAAAATAAATGTTTTCTCCTACAACATCAGAGTTGCATCGGCACATTCAATACGCACTACAATGACAATAGTTTAAAGCGATTTGAAGCAGGTTTTTTTTTTTTGGGGGGGGGGCGAGTTTTGTGACGAGGAGGACGAGGAGGAGGTCAAAAATAGCGTGACGTCATTTATGGACGGCCCCTTATTTATCTTTGCCATATTCTCCACAACTCGAATTTGGAGTTTTGTGTAGGATTGTTAAAAAAAAATAAAAACCGACGGTGACGGGTTTTCGGACCGTGGGTTACCCCGGTTCCAAACGGGTGACCCAAACCGGCCATTTGGGAGTTTCGAGTAGCGAGCTGCGCCGAGACACGCGCCCTCGTGCGTACAAACCGCACGGCAGCAGTGCCCGAAAGCCACCATTTGATGGCCAAAGGAAGCGGCCCGGGCCAATTGCTCTCGGAACCACTGCCGGTACGAGGGCCTCCTCATCATCATCCTCCTCCTCCACGAGAGGGAGCTCTAGAGAGGATATTTGATTTGCGGTATTCGTCGATGTTGAGTGCGGACGTCTTGGAAATGCGGTGCGAGTGCCCGCATTTTACCCCACCGCAAGTGAGTAACCCGCTGATTGGCTGGACGGAGGCCTTAGTATGGGAACAAGGCCGTAATTATAATACATATGCTCAAAATGTCCCCTCCCCCCACCCAATATTTTGCTATAAAATAGATTTCTGTTTATATGATTGTGGTTACGGTTGTACTTTATTAATCCATAATCTCTGCAATTACATACAATGAAACAAGAAATGATAAAAAATTTTTTTTAAAACAGAGCAATGTAATACAATAACACTATTAGACATTATTGTAAAATAATAATAAAAAGTTCATCCTATGTGTTAGTGAATTTTTTATATTTTAGGCAGGAAATGGCATGAAATTCGTTTATCAAATTTCGATTTATTTTTGTTTTCCTGGGGGAGGACCCCCTGGAAGATTTGCCCCCCCCTCCCCCCCAATGTTGACTCCATGGCTACGGCCTTGGCAGGGGGAATTAATAAACCTGGCAACTAATTGTTTCAACTGGCGCGACGAGAGATGGTATTGAACTAGCGACCTTTATATTGCAAGTCCAGTGACGTTAAACCATGACTCCACCAGGTCAGTTCCATCCGTTTCTCAGTGGGAAAAGCTCAACATGTGATGCTGAGTGATCCGGACATTTCTATATGTGCAACAAACCGGTAATAACCGGTTGTACTGGCTTTTTCCATGTTATCCTTGGTGATGCAAAAAAAACAACAACCCTATTTTAAGTGTACAGCCCTCGTCTTAAATCAAAATGAGTTGCGCGTGACGGATTCAATCAATCAAAGTGCGGCTGCGGTTTTCATTGAGTGTCCCGCGCGTGCGTCTATGGGTCTCTCGGTGTGAGCCTGTGGGGTCTCTTGTCAGTCCCTGGGTCCCTTTGTGAGTGTAAGTCGCTGCGGAGAGCGTCACGCGTCTCAAGATGACGCGAAAGGCGAGACGCAGCCACGACACTTTTGCCGCGACTGCACTGTTCACGGCTAGATGAGGCATTCCCTCAATGTTGATTTGAAGCTTTCGTGACTGCAGGAATCCATCATGCTCTGTGACTTTAACCGAAATAACCTAGGAGTACGAGGTATTCCTTCTCAAGCAATATGTATTACCCAATCCTAGTGACTGTTTTAGTTGCCTTATCCACTATGGTCGTGCTTTTTTCATACACAATGGCTATGCGCGCGCACACACAAGCACTTAACGCAATCCACTTTTTGAGAAGTGTCCTCCCCTCCACCCCCCCCCCCCCCCACGTTGACCCGGCTCTGACCTCTGAGCCTGTGTCTCACCCTCTGTGTGACCCCAGCCAGGGGGGGGGGGGGGTAAGGGAGTCTTGTGGTGGTGGTGGAGGGGGGGGGGTCACCGCGTTCCTATCCCCTCAGCCCCAACCCCCACCCATCAACCCTACCCCCCTTGCACACCCCTTTAGAGACAACAATAGCCGTGATAATAATAACATTAATAACGGTAGCGCGTTTGCTGCTGCAGGAGATGGCGGTAAGAACCCCAGGGGCTGCCCGAGTTAATACCGCGGGTGTCGTCACCACCACCATCATCATCATCACACTCAGAATCGTCACGTTCGACCACAGGCCTGGTTAATACTGTGGGTGTCGAGGTTGGCGTACGTGGGGAGCGTAGAAGTACAGTGAGGTAGAGTACAACAGCGGATGTTGCTTCGTTCTCCTCTGCCGTTGACCACGTGTCGCGCCTGCAGCGCCACAACAACAATCACCGCCGTCCACCACTGAGTGGGCGGTGACATCACCACGGCGCTTGTGCCAGGCTAGGTGCAGTGATCGGTATGCGGTGCTACCAGTGGCGTAACGGCATCGTTAACTCACTCGGGGTTGGAGGGGTGCGTCAATCGATCGGGTGGTTGCGGCAATATTTGATTTTTTAAAATATTTTTTATTATTCAACGCTTTTTATTAACTCAACTCGTCTGTTGTATCCTCAAATCTTGTAAGTCAATTGTAACCCACTTCCCAATGTGATATCGACTGCAAACTCTGTATACTTATGTCACACTGATGACAATACTATATTCTATCAATAAAAAAATATATTTTAAACATTCTTTTTTTAAATTGTCCACGCTCAACTGACGTTGGCTGTAATTGTCCACGATTCCTTACGTTGTGGCAAAGCTTCGCGGCCCACTTCCTGGAGTCGTGGAGTTCTTACATTACTAGTAAGGCACATTTCATTAAAGCGTGTTTTTAACAAAAAAAACGTTTAAAAAAACATTACTTATTTTTCGATTTAAAGCTTTCGTGACTGCAAGGATTCATCTTCTTTGGTTCTTTCGGTAAAGTCACCACGTAGAATGAGAATAAAATAATAAATTGATAAAAAAATAACACAATAAAATTCTCACGACGTTTCGGCCACAACACAAGCGGCCTTCATCAGGTGAAAGGACGAGACTGGCTGGAGGATCAGCGCTGGAGCTACTACATATGTAGTAGCTACATACTACATATGTAGTAGTATATATGTACTACATGTGTATCAGCTACTTTTGCTACTAGAAAAAATCCGGCACTGCCCCCTGCCCCCCACGATAGTTAGGCGAGTTACGCAAATCACGCTGCTGGGTACAACATCAGTCACGTGGGTCCCTGCGGAGTGTATAAAGGTGATGCTGGTGGTGCAACTGGCAGTGGTGCACAAACACAGGTAAAAAAATAAGTAATATTTTTTTTAAAAAACTTTTTTTTAACACGTTTTAATGATGCAATGTACCGTACTCATATTATTGGTTCTTTCGGTAAAGTCACCACCACGTAGAAGGGAAACAATGAAATAATACAAATATAAAACAATACAATTCTCACGACGTTTCGAGTGCAACACAAGCAATCGTCATCAGGTGTGAAAACCACAGCAAGAAAATTTGTACCGCACTCGTAATGTCAGAACTCCACGACTCCAAGAAGTGGCCCCGAAGCTTGCCATTTACAGCCAACGTCAGATTACCGTGGACAATTAGAGCCAAGCCGAAACATAACATTTAAAGAATAATGTTTAAAATATATATATAATATTTTATGATAGAATATAGTAATTGTCATCAGTATGACATAAGTATACCAAATTTGCAGTCGATACCACATTGGGAAGTGGGTTACAATTGAGTTACAAGATTTGAGGATACAACAAAAGACAAAGTTAATAAAAAAAAAAGTGTAACAAACGACTGTACTCAACATTTTCGTCAATAACAACAACAATGTTGGGGCCTTACGATATCAAACAAATCTAATATAATGTACGACGTTTCGGGAAATGGCCCTTCTTCGTGACATGTAAATAGAGATAGGCCAGAAAAGAGGGTGTGGATGCATTGCATAGTTACACTTAGCGGCTGTTGAGTAACAACAGAAAGCCCCACTTTGAATGCGCACACAAAGTATCACTCCGAAATAATGTTGATATTTAAAGTATATATATATTTTAAAAAAATGTCCGGTGAAGGCTGTTGCAGGATTGCGCCTTTACCTCTTGAGAGCAGGGGCGATTCTGATTGGCCAGAGCCACGTGTCACGGTACAGAGATGGAGGCGGGTGGCCGTAATGGTTTTTTTGTCGTGAAATGTTCATCACCACCGCATTGTAAGTGATGAGATATTTTTTTATGTTTTAAAAAAATGTGTCGAACACGTGCGTGTGTGTATGTGTGTGAAAATAAATTCAATATGATTAATCGGCATTAACAATGTGCAATTGTATTCACGCGCATTGCAATCCTGTGTTTAAGGTACAGTACATGTTTTGAGTTCTCACTCGAGTAGTTACCCTGTTGTCGACCCTGAATGGATGGTTGCTCCTATGATGGTAGTGATTATGGTGGTCGTTGATAATGGTGGTGGTGGTGATGATGGTGTTGATGATTATGGTGGTGATGGTGTTGGCGATTATGATGGTAGTGGTGATGATGATGATGGTAGTGGTGATGATTATGGTGGTGATGGTGTTGGCGATTATTATGGTAGTGGTAATGATGATGGTGGTGTTGATGATTTATGGTGGTGATTATGATGATGGTGGTGATTATGATGATGTTGGTGATTATGATGATGGTCGTGATTATGATGATGGTCGTGATTATGATGGTTGGTGGATAATGGTTGTTTCGATTTCAAGTAGTTTTTTTTTGTGTAACCAGGGAAAGAACTCTTAGAGACGAGGTTTGACGATTCATTTACAAGCGTGACCTTGCTCACGGAAAATTACAATAAAAGCAAATAAAATAAATTGATCAATCTAACGCGTAGTTTGCTTTCACGACCAATATCATCCACACTCGAGTTTGTTTTGTGTCAGATCGTGTAAATCGATACATGTGTCGTTAAAACCCGCCACCACCCGACACAGCCAACTAGTAATGGTTGTCACGTAAACAGAACGTGGCCAATTCGTCACTAGTACAGCACTAGTGTGTAGTGTACAGTAGTGTATAGTGTAGTGTATAGTGTAGTGTATAGTAGTATAGTGTAGTGTATAGTGTAGTATACTAGTACAGCACTCGTGTATAGTGTAGTATAGTGTAGTATACTAGCACAGCACTAGTGTGTAGTGTAGTGTATCGTGTAGTATACTAGTACAGCACTAGTGTATAGTGTAATGTATAGTGTAGTGTAGTATACTAGTACAGCACTAGTGTATAGTGTAGTGTACTAGTACAGCACTAGTGTGTAGTGTATAGTGTAGTATACTAGTACAGCACTAGTGTATAGTGTAGTGTACTAGTACAGCACTAGTGTATAGTGTAGTGTATAGTGTAGTATACTAGTACAGCACTAGTGTGTAGTGTATAGTGTAGTATACTAGTACAGCACTAGTGTATAGTGTACTGTATTGTGTAGTATACTAGCACAGCACTAGTGTGTAGTGTATAGTGTAGTATACTAGTACAGCACTAGTGTATAGTGTAGTGTATCGTGTACTGTATTGTGTAGTATACTAGCACAGCACTAGTGTGTAGTGTATAGTGTAGTATACTAGTACAACACTAGTGTATAGTGTAGTGTATAGTGCAGTGTACTAGTACAGAACTAGTGTATAGTGTAGTGTATAGTGTAATGTATAGCGTAGTATACTAGTACAGCACTAGGATATAGTGCAGTGTATAGTGTGTATAGTGTAGTATACTAGTACAGTACACCAGTGTGTTGGAGAGCCAAGCCACAATATTTACAATCTGAGTACGACGTTTCGTGCTCCGATTGTAAATTGGTGTTGAGGGCAAATGCAATGATGGCTGCTGATCGTGGTGATGGCTGCTGATCGTGGTGGTGGCTGCTGATCGTGGTGATGGTTGCTGATCGTGGTGGTGGCTGCTGATCGTGGTGGTGGCTGCTGATCGTGGTGATGGTTGCTGATCGTGGTGGTGGCTGCTGATCGTGGTGATGGCTGCTGATCGTGGTGATGGCTGCTGATCGTGGTGATGGCTGCTGATCGTGGTGGTGGCTGCTGATCGTGGTGATGGCTGCTGATCGTGGTGGTGGCTGCTGATCGTGGTGATGGCTGCTGATCGTGATGGTGGCTGCTGATCGTGGTGGTGGCTGCTGATCGTGGTGGTGGCTGCTGATCGTGGTGATGGCTGCTGATCGTGGTGGTGGCTGCTGATCGTGGTGGTCATGGTGTCGATGCGGCCTCCCCTAGTTCCACTCGGCCTTATGGCGCGGTGTGTGGTAAACTTTGCCAACTGGGGGAGACAAAGACGGCCGGGCGTGGTGCTGGCCACCCACCCCCTCGTGTGCTGTGCCGGCCTTCATAGGTGCTCGCAAACAGCACTTGCCCCAAAAAGTCTGTGCAGGCTACACGGGGGATGTTGGGTTATGATATTGATGCTGCTGATAACGATGCTTCTCTTGTTGTATGCTGTGTGGATCTCACTGTTACTATGGTGATGTTTAAAGATGATGGTAGTGATGCGTTAGAGGTGATGGTAGGGGTAGTGAATATGATGATAGTTGTGGTGATGATGATGGTCATGATGATGTTAATGGTTGTGGTGATGATGATGATGAAGCTACTGCTGATGGGCTGTGCTGACCCCAATGTTACGATGGTGATGTTTAAAGGTGATTGATGGTGGCGGTACCGATGAAAATAGTCACGGTGATGTTGTTCATGATGGTTGTAGTAATGATGGTGATGATGATGATGCTACTGCTGATGTGTTGCTCATGGGCTACGTGGCCTCTGATGAGAATGACGTGAAAAGATGATGATGATGATTGCTGAGGTATGCATCTCTGTCTCTCACACCCACCCTCACGCCCACTCTCCCATGCCCACTCTCCCATGTGTCGCATCTCTCACGCCCTCACTCTCCTGTCAAGTCGCTCTCTGCCCTCTCTCCTTCTATAGCAACCCTTCATTATTCTCTCCCTCTCTCTCTCCCGTATCTCTCACACTGTCTCCCCCCTCCATAACTCTTCCCGCTTTCTCTGTGTGCGTTTCTCCCTCTCTCCATCCGATTGCTCTCTCCACGCTCTCCTACGTATCTCCGACATCTCTTCATTCACTCTCCCCTCTTATCTCGCCTCGGTCACACATCGCATTCTCTCACATAATCGTCATCATTCTCTCTTTCTTTTTTACGATCAGAGAGGAAACGAGAAGATGCTCGGTGTAGTCGGCACTTTGCTCCGTTCGTCATTTCGTTTTTTTGTTTTTTTTATGTTTTGCTTTATGTAAACCCCCCTTTTAAATGAAAGACCCAACAAAATATTTTTTTCTGCTCTCCTTACCCCTTCCCTCTCTCTCTACCCCCCCTCTCTGCCCCTCCTCTCTCTCTCTGCCCCCTCTCTTCCTACTCCATTTCGCTCTCTCTCGCTCACTCTCTCGCTCTCTTTTTTTATATAACTACGACAAGTGCTGCATCTGCACGCAGCCCTTCCCACAGTCAAACGGCCCTCTCCTCTCCCTTCCCTCACTGTCACGTGACCCTCACCTGAATCTCATCCATCTCCCCATCACTCTCTCCCCGTGCACTCACAAATCAATATCTCACCACGATCGACCCTTTCTCCTCAATCCCCTCTCCATCGCTCCTGTTTCCTCACTCTTCCGTCTTGCACTCTCCCATCACTCTCCCTCTCTCCCCACTATCTCTCTCTCCTCACTCTCTCGCCCCCTCATGCCCTCCTATCTCCCCTCGCTCCATCTCTCTCATTCCTGCCTCACTCTCCCCTCTCTCTCTCTCTCTCCTCACTCTCTCGTCCCCTCATACCCTCCTATCTCCCCTCTCTCCATCTCTCTCATTCCTTCCTCTCCCCTCTCTCTCTCCTCACTCTCTCGTCCCCTCATGCTCTCCCATCTCCCCCCTCTCCATCTCTCTCTTTCCTACCTCTCCCCTCTCTCTCTCCTCACTCTCTCGCCCCCTCATGCCCTCCCATCACCCCTCGCTCCATCTCTCTCATTCCTACCTCTCCCCTCTCTCTCTCCTCACTCTCTCCTCACTCTCTCGCCCCCTCATGCCCTGCATCTCCCCTCGCTCCATCTCTCTCATTCCTACCTCTCCCCTCTCTCTCTCTCCTCACTCTCTCGCCCCCTCATGCCCTGCATCTCCCCTCGCTCCATCTCTCTCATTCCTACCTCTCCCCTCCCTCTCTCCTCACTCTCTCGCCCGCTCATGCCCTCCCATCTCCCCTCGCTCCATCTCTCTCATTCCTGCCTCACTCTCCCCACTCTCTCTCTCTCTCTCCAGGCTCTGCCCCGGGTGTTGGTGGGAAAGGTCAAAGGCCTTGGGTTCATTGGGCTGGCAACCATCATCGCTGTCAACCACACGGAACCGTGGAGACGCACGGAGAGACGGAGACGCAGAGAGGCACAGGTAGAGAGACACGAGAGTCTGGGACAATGACACAGAGCGAGAGGGACAGGGACAATGACGGAGGGACACGGGTCCAGAGAATCACTTGCACGGGGACAAATACAAAAGGATGGGAACACAGGGAAAAAAGAGACGGGGAGACTCTGCACACGCACACAGATATCAGGGGTCGTCCATAAATGACGTCACGCAATTTTGGACGATTTTTGACCCCTCCCCCCCCCCCATCGTCACACGGCGTCACAAAAAGTCAGCCCCCCCCCCCTCAAATATGACGTCACAAAGCTCTGCCCCCCGCCCCCCCAAAAAAAAACATGCTTCAAATCGCTTTAAACTATTGTCACATCATAGTCGCGTATTTAATGTGGCGCTGCACTCTGACGTTGTAGGAGAAAACATTTATTAAAAAAAAAGTTTATTTAATTAACGTGTTGTGTCTATATTTATTTAGAGTTGCGCATTTTGATGTGACGTCACATTTCTCAAACGCCCCCCCCTCCCTCCCTCCCTCGTCACACATCGTCACAAATGTCTGACCCCCCCCCACCCCCCACCCCCCGCCCCCCCCAAGTGCGTGACGTCATTTAGGAACGGCCCCTTAGTCTTGGGAGACACGCACAGACGGACGAGGAGAGAGAAATTCAGACACAAGCACGCAGCGGGCGAGAGAGACGCATCAAAACGCTAACCTTGGGTCACAGGGGATGCGGTTCCACAAAACGGCGATAGGCACGCCGAGACACACGGAGAACACGCGAGACGGAGACACGGGGACACAGGGACACAGAGACAACCACGGACACCGGGCGGCGAGAAGGGGAAATTCCGGGCGCAAACTCGCAGAGAGACGCTCACGCACAGAGACCTAGGAAACCTACACACAAAGACGCAGAATCAGCGGCAGAGGTGCACAAAGAGACAGATGGAGAGAGAGATGACACGCACACACACACAGACATACAGAGGCAGAGAACGACAGAGACACACACACACACACAGACACACAGAGGCAGAGAACGACAGAGACACACACACACACACAGACATACAGAGGCAGAGAACGACAGAGACACACACACAGACATACAGAGGCAGAGAACGACAGAGACACACACACACACAGACATACAGAGGCAGAGAACGACAGAGACACACACACACACAGACACACAGAGGCAGAGAACGACAGAGACACACACACACACAGACATACAGAGGCAGAGAACGACAGAGACACACACACAGACATACAGAGGCAGAGAACGACAGAGACACACACACACACAGACATACAGAGGCAGAGAACGACAGAGACACACACACACACAGACACACAGAGGCAGAGAACGACAGAGACACACACACACACAGACATACAGAGGCAGAGAACGACAGAGACACACACACACAGACATACAGAGGCAGAGAACGACAGAGACACACACACAGACACACAGAGGCAGAGAACGACAGAGACACACACACACACAGACATACAGAGGCAGAGAACGACAGAGACACACACACACACAGACACACAGAGGCAGAGAACGACAGAGACACACACACACAGACATACAGAGGCAGAGAACGACAGAGACACACACACACACACAGACATACAGAGGCAGAGAACGACAGAGACACACACACACACAGACACACAGAGGCAGAGAACGACAGAGACACACACACACACAGACATACAGAGGCAGAGAACGACAGAGACACACACACGCAGACACACAAAGGCAGAGAACGACAGAGACACACACACACAGACATACAGAGGCAGAGAACGACAGAGACACACACACACACAGACATACAGAGGCAGAGAACGACAGAGACACACACACACACAGACATGCAGAGGCAGAGAACGACAGAGACACACACACACACAGACATACAGAGGCAGAGAACGACAGAGACACACACACACAGACACACAAAGGCAGAGAACGACAGAGACACACACACACAGACATACAGAGGCAGAGAACGACAGAGACACACACACACAGACATACAGAGGCAGAGAACGACAGAGACACACACACACACAGACATACAGAGGCAGAGAACGACAGAGACACACACACACACAGACATACAGAGGCAGAGAACGACAGAGACACACACACACAGAGACATACAGAGGCAGAGAACGACAGAGACACACACACACACACAGACATACAGAGGCAGAGAACGACAGAGACACACACACACAGACACACAAAGGCAGAGAACGACAGAGACACACACACACACACAGACATACAGAGGCAGAGAACGACAGAGACACACACACACACAGACATACAGAGGCAGAGAACGACAGAGACACACACACACACAGACACACAGAGGCAGAGAACGACAGAGACACACACACAGACACAGACATACAGAGGCAGAGAACGACAGAGACACACACACACAGACATACAGAGGCAGAGAACGACAGAGACACACACACAGACATACAGAGGCAGAGAACGACAGAGACACACACACACAGAGACATACAGAGGCAGAGAACGACAGAGACACACACACACACACAGCCATACAGAGGCAGAGAACGACAGAGACACACACACAAAGACACCAAGATTCCCCCGTGTAGCCTGTAACAGACTGTAGGGGCAAGTGCTGTTAGCGAGCACCCATGAAGGCCGGAACGGTATGAAGGGGTGGGTGGCCAGCACCACGCCCGACCGCCTTTGTCTCCCCCAGTGGCGATGTTTACTACACACCGCACCAGGTACTCATTTGAGGCTGAGTCGACCCGGGGGAGGCCCGGGACCGGTTCAGATAATCGTCACCGGTGTTGGCCGTGAGCGGGAATCGAACCCGTGTCGCCGGGTTCATAGCGCTAACCGCTGCACCACCGCTCCCCACTACACAGACAGAGAGACACGCACGAGAGAGTGATGCAGATTTGGAGAGTCAGAATGTACAAGGGAGACCACTGGTTGCGTTAGATAGACAGAAGGAGATGGACACGAGTGTAGGAGACGAGGTGAGTGTCTGAGAATGGGAGAGAGTGTGCAGGAGAGAGCGAGAGAGAGAGCGAGCATATGAAAGTGTGTGGGAGGGAGTGGTGTGAGAGTGTATAGGAATGAGAGGGAGAGATTAGGGCATTTGAGGGCACGAGGGAGAGGGGCGGAGAGAGGGGAGAGCGAGTGGGACGGGGGAGAGAGAGGAGGAGGAGGGGCGGGGAGAGCAAATTTGTGGGCAGGAGAGCGAGAGAGTGGGAACGAGGAGGAGTGAGGGCAGAGAAACAAGAGAGACCTTAACATGGACCCCCACTGGGAGTAGAAACCGAAGCATTGGGTACTCTGCATGTTGTATAGAGCGATATATACACAACGCGTACTGATACTATATACAATGCCGCGTATCTGTTATCGATCTTTAAAGTTGATTTGAAGCTTTCGCAACTGCAGGAAACAGGTCCCTGCAGGGTGGGCTGGTAGGAACATTGGAATTTTGCGCAATTTAATTTTTACACCCCAACAGCACGAGATTTCACTTCGTTAAAGTATTGAAAGGGGACGGACGGACGGACACATTAATCTATTGCAGGCTGGTACACTCAGTTTACAACTTGGTTCCTACCAGTATAACCACTAACCCTTCCATAGCCACCACCACCTCTATGACCACTAATCCCTCCATAACCATCACCACCACCTCTATAACCACTAACCCCTCCATAACCACCACCACCACCTCTATAACCACTAACCCCTCCATAGCCACCACCGCCATCATCACCTCTATAACCACTAACCCCTCCATAACCACCACCTCTATAACCACTAACCCCTCCATAGCCACCACCACCTCTATAACCACTAACCCCTCCATAACCACCACCACCTCTATAACCACTAACCCCTCCATAACCACCACCACCTCTATAACCACTAACCCCTCCATAACCACCACCTCTATAACCACTAACCCCTCCAAAACCACCACCACCTCTATAACCACTAACCCCTCCATAACCACCACCTCTATAACCACTAACCCCTCCAAAACCACCACCACCACCACCTCTAAAACCACTAACCCTTCCATAACCACCACCACCTCTATAACCACTAACCCCTCCATAGCCACCACCGCCATCATCACCTCTATAACCACTAACCTCTCCATAACCACCACCTCTATAACCACTAACCCCTCCATAACCACCACCACCTCTATAACCACTAACCCCTCCATAACCACCAACACCTCTATAACCACTAACCCCTCCATAACCACCACCACCACCTCTATAACCACTAACCCCTCCATAACCACCACCACCTCTATAACCACTAACCCCTCCATAACCACCACCTCTATAACCACTAACCCCTTCATAGCCACCACCTCTATAACCACTAACCCCTCCACAACCACCATCTCTATAACCACTAACCCCTCCATAGCCACCACCGCCATCATCACCTCTAACAGGTCCCTGCAGGGTGGGCTGGTAGGAACATTGGAATTTTTCACTTCGTTATAGTATTGAAAGGGGACGGACGGACGGACACATTCATCTATTGCAGGCTGGCACACTCAGTTTACAACTGCGTTCCTACCAGTATAACTCTTTGGTTCTTTTGGTACAGTCACGTGGGAAGTAAATTAATTGATAGAGTATGACGTTTGGATTGCAACGCAAGGCAATCGTCATCAGGTAGAAGTAGATTTGAGAGAGAGAGAGACAAAACACAGACACGGAGACACACAGACAGACACACAAGCAGAGAGAGACAACACAGACACACACAGAGAGAGACAACACACACACACAGAGAGACACACACAACATAGACACACAGACAGACACACAAGCAGAGAGAGACACACAGGGACACACAGAGAGAGACACACAACATAGACACACAGAGAGAGACACAAGCAGAGAGAGACAACACAGACACAGAGAGAGACACACACAACATAGACACACAGACAGACACACAAGCAGAGAGAGACACACAGAGACACAGGGAGAGAGAGACATAACATAGACACATAGAGAGACACAAGCAGAGAGAGACAACACAGAGACACAGAGAGACACACAAGCAGATAGAGACGCACACAGAGAGACACAACAGAGACACACAGACAGACACACAAGCAGAGAGAGACAACACAGAGACACACAGAGACACAGAGAGAGAGACATAACAGAGACACACAGACAGACAAGCAGAGAGAGACAACACAGAGACACAGAGAGAGAGACACAACAGAGACACACAGACAGACACACAGAGACACAGAGAGAGAGACAACACAGACACACAGAGAGAGACAACACAGAGACACAGAGAGACACACACACAGACAGACACACAAGCAGATAGAGACACACACAGAGAGACACACAACAGAGACACACAGACAGACACACAGACAGACACACAAGCAGAGAGAGACAACACAGACACACACAGAGAGAGACACACACAACATAGACACACAGACAGACACACAAGCAGAGAGAGACACAACAGAGACACACAGACAGACACACAGACACACAGAGACACACAGAGAGAGACAACACAGAGACACACAGACAGACACACAAGCAGAGAGAGACAACACAGAGACACACAGAGAGAGACAACACAGACACACAGACAGACACACAAGCAGAGAGAGACAACACAGAGACACACAGAGAGAGACAACACAGAGACACACAGAGAGACACAAGCAGAGAGAGACACCACAGAGACACAGAGAGAAAGACACAACAGAGACACACAGCCAGACACACAGAGACACACAGAGAGAGACACAACAGAGACACACACACAGACACACAGACAGAGACAGAGACACAACAGAGACACACAGACAGACACACAGACAACACAGAGACCCAGAGAGAGAGACACAACAGAGACACACACACAGACACACAGACAGACACACAGAGAGAGACAACACAGAGACACACAGACAGACAGACACAGAGACAGAGAGAGAGTCACACTCTCTCGTGTAGCAATCGAAACGCCGTACTCTATTGCTTAGTTTATTTTCTTTCTATGTTACTTTACCGAAAGAACCAAAGAGTATCGATCTTTATTTTTACTCTGTAAGGCTCACTGAGCTATTGGGGCTTCTTGTTTTTTCCTTTTAAGAAGCGACCTGGCCGCATAATGAATGCTCATCCGAGGGGCTTATCGTCACGTGCCAATTTATGGCAGCAAAAAAACAAAACTCTGAAACGCGTGTTTCCAGATGTGGTTGGGATAATACCGGAGGACCCAGAGAAAAATCCACGCGACCACGGACAGAGAGAGAGAGACAGAGAGAGAGACAGAGAGAGAGAGACAGAGAGAGAGAGACAGAGAGAGAGAGAGACAGAGAGAGAGAGACAGAGAGAGAGACAGAGAGAGACAGAGACAGAGAGAGAGACAGGGAGAGAGAGAGAGAGACAGAGAGAGAGACAGAGAAAGAGAGACAGAGAGAGAGACAGAGAGAGAGACAGGGAGAGAGAGAGAGAGACAGAGAGAGAGACAGAGCGACAGAGAGACAGAGAGAGACAGAGAGAGAGACAGAGCGACAGAGAGACAGAGAGAGAGAGAGACAGAGAGAGAGGCGAGAGATCTGGAAACTCCAAATATGCAGCAGTAGGCATTAGGCTCGGGATCGGACCCACGACCTCCTGGCGTGCCAGGCGAGACGGTTAACCACAACGCTGACGCGGCTGGTGTGTCCTCAGCACTTTGTGCCGTCATCTCACTGTGCGGTAGCGGTACGTCAAGTGATCCTCATGGCGGTACCTCGGGGTTACCAAATAATACGAGATGGCCGAGGCAATTAAACGTTTTTATTTCTGGGACGCTTTTTGTTGTTGTTGTTGTTGTTTTTTTCCAGGGGTGCTGCTTAACGTACCAATCAATCGGAAAGCCGGTGCCACTCCACGATGTCGAAACGCCAAATGCCAGCAGAACAAAATCCGCCGTCGACAATGTCAACTTCCGAACGGTGCATCGTGGGTACAGCTCGTCGAGATGAGTCGGTTGCCGCATCGCCGGCCATCACCAGAACTAAGAATCGCCGCGTCACGGACATCGTGTGAGAGCCGGGGTAGCTATGGGACCCCGCGGGGTTGCCGCCGTGTGGGTCCATAATCTCGCCGGACTTTATCGTTGTCACATTACGTACCGGGGAAACCGCTTTAGTTGTGGCGCGTTTGTCGTTGAACGCCGGCACTTCGAAGGAACACATCTAGCTACGTTAATCGAGGATTTGCTGTATACTTCATACCCACTACCTCGCCTGGTATACAGGAGGTCGTGGGTTAGATCCCGACCCTGACGCCTGCTGCTGTATATTTGGAGTCTGCGTCTCTCTCTCTCATCATCATCACGGTAGCTAGGAAATGTTAACTACCTCGCCTGGTATACAGGAGGTCGTGGGTTAGATCCCGACCCTGACACCTGCTGCTGCTGCTGTATATTTGGAGTTCGCGCCTCTCTCTCTCATCATCATCACGGTGGCTAAGAGATATTAACTACCTCGCCTGGTATGCAGGAGGTCGTGGGTTCGATCCCGACCACTGCTGTATATTTGGAGTTTGCGTCTCTCTCTCTCTCATCATCATCATCACGGTGGCTAGGAGATGTTAACGACCTCGCCTGGTACGCAGGAGGTCGCGGGTTCGATCCCGACCACTGCTGTATATTTGGAGTCTGCGTGTCTCTCTCTCTCTCCGTGGTCGCGTGGATTTTTCTCCGGGTCCTCCGCTTTTTCCCCTCCGCATTTAGATTCAACGTCACCACGCGTTTAAGAGTTTTTGGCTGCTCTAAATGTCCACGTGATGATGATGATGATGAGCCACTTCGTTGTGCTTCTCATTCGATGTAAGGTCGCTTCTGAAAAAGAGCAATTTTTGACTCAGTGGGGCCTCGCCTGGTAAAATTAAAAAAAATGGTTTAGTTTTAGTTTTGTTAGCGGCAGCCGAGGGATGGAACACGTCGCCTGAGAGCACGCCCACCACGGAGGAGATGGAGCGACGGTTAAAATCCGCTCCTGGTGCATAGAGCAGTAGTGCCGGGTGGCTTGTGACAATGCAAAACCGTGAGAGGTGGCAGCGGCGGTTTGGGAAGGGAGGCCTTCATCCAGCAGTGGATTGGCAGTGGCCGATGATGATGATGTATACAGTGGTGTGTCCACGTTTTATAACAGGGTTATACTGTACGCGTTATCCAACATCTCAAAAAAATATACTGGGGAGTGAGCGCTACAGGTTCGTTTAAGAGACGACAATTGGAGATTCAAATTTCACGGTTGCAGCGTAGATATATGCTGCGTATAAACTTTTAAAGAAATAGAGAGGAGAGAGTAAGATCCTGGGGATATGGGTGACGGGAGAGAGAGAGAGAGAAAGGCGAGAGTGAGGGGGGAGTGAGAGAGGATGGGGAGAGGATGGGGAGAGAGGATGGAGAGAGGATGGGGAGAGAGGATGGAGAGAGTTTAGGAGGAACCATGGTTTAGAAAGTGAGAGGAGGGGAGAGTGAAAGGAGAGAGAGAGAGGCGAGAGTGAGGGGGGAGTGAGAGTGGATGGAGAGAGGATGGAGAGAGAGGATGGAGAGAGGATGGGGAGAGAGGATGGAGAGAGTTTAGGAGGGACCATGGTTTAGAAAGTGAGAGGAGGGGAGAGTGAAAGGAGAGAGAGAGAGAGAGGCGAGAGTGAGGGGGGAGTGAGAGTGGATGGAGAGAGGATGGGGAGAGAGGATGGAGAGAGGATGGGGAGAGAGGATGGAGAGAGTTTAGGAGGAACCATGGTTTAGAAAGTGAGAGGAGGGGAGAGTGAAAGGAGAGAGAGAGAGAGGCGAGAGTGAGGGGGGAGTGAGAGTGGATGGAGAGAGGATGGGGAGAGAGGATGGAGAGAGTTTAGGAGGAACCATGGTTTAGAAAGTGAGAGGAGGGGAGAGTGAAAGGAGAGAGAGAGAGGCGAGAGTGAGGGGGGAGTGAGAGAGGATGGGGAGAGAGGATGGAGAGAGGATGGGGAGAGAGGATGGAGAGAGTTTAGGAGGGACCATGGTTTAGAAAGTGAGAGGAGGGGAGAGTGAAAGGAGAGAGAGAGGCGAGAGTGAGGGGGGAGTGAGAGAGGATGGGGAGAGGATGGGGAGAGAGGATGGAGAGAGGATGGGGAGAGAGGATGGAGAGAGTTTAGGAGGGACCATGGTTTAGAAAGTGAGTGCGAGGAGGGGAGAGTGAAAGGAGAGAGAGGGCAGGAGGGGAGGGCCGGTGTCGGGAGAGGGTAGTGGGGAGAGAGTAGAGTCAGCAAGGGGGCAATGAGGCCCCACGCGTCACGTGACCAAGAGGCACCGGCTAAGGGGGTTCACACACGTGACCCGAGAGAGAGAGTGTGAGTGAGTGTGGGTCATGGAGTGTGTTGTGTGTGAGTGGTGGGTGTTGTCGGACGAAGTGCGTGTGAGTTTATGTCATCGGGGAGTGTGAGTGAGTGTGTCTGAGCGAGCGAGTGTTTCTCGTTGTGCGAGAGTGTGTGTGTATGTATGAGCGTGTCAGGAACGAGTCAGAGCCATGTGAGTGTGTGTGTGTGCATGTATGTACGAGTGTGCGATTCGGGGAGCGGTAGTGGAGTGGTTAGCATGCCGTGCTACGAACCCGGCGAACACACTCACTCATACATACACACACATACCGTTACTCACACACATACACACACATACTCATACATACACACACATACCTAGACTCATACATACACACACACACCTAAACTAACACTCATACATACACACACATACCTAAACTAACATACATACACACACATACCTAGACTCATACATACACACACATACCAATACTCATACATACACACACATACTCATACATACACACATGCCTAGACTCACTCATACATACACACACATACCGATACTCATACATACACACACATACTCACTCATACATACATACACACATACCTAAACTAACACTCATACATACACACGCATACCTAAACTAACACTCATACATACACACACATACCTAAACTAACACTCATACATACACACACATACCGATACTCACACTCATACATACACACACACATACCGATACTCACTCATACATACACACACATACCTAGACTCATACATACAGACACATACCTACATTCACTCATACATACACACATACCTATACTCACTCACACATACACACACATACCCACACTCACTCATACATACACACACATACCTAGACTCACTCAGACATATACACACATACCAATACTCACACTCACACATACAAACACATACCTAAACTAACACTCATACATACACACATACCTAGACTCACTCATACATACATACACATACCTATACACATTCATACATGTACACACACTCACTCATACCTGTACACACATACTCACTCATACATACACACACATACTCACTCAAACATACATACACACACATACCTATACTAACACTCATACATACATGAGTGAGTATCGGTATGTGTGTGTATGTATGAGTGTGAGTCTAGGTATGTGTGTATGTGTGAGTGAGTATCGGTATGTGTGTGTATGTATGAGTGTGAGTATGGGCATGTGTGTATGTATGAGTGAGTCTAGGTATGTGTGTGTATGTGTGAGTGAGTCTAGGTATGTGTGTGTACAGTGAGGGAAAAAAAGTACTTGATCTCCTGCTGATTTTGTACGTTTGCCCACTGATAAAGAAATGTTCAGTCTATAATTTTAATGGTAGGTTTATATGAACAGTGAGAGACAGAATAACAACAACAAAATGTAGAAAAACGCATGTCAAAAATGTAATAAATTGATTTGCATTTTAATGAGGGAAATAAATATTTGACCCCCTCTCAATCAGAAAGAGTTCTGGCTCCCAGGTGTCTTTTATACAGGTAACGAGCTGAGATTAGGGGCACCCTTAAAGGGAGTGCTCCTAATCTCAGCTTGTTACTTGTGTAAAAGACACCTGTCCACAGAAGCAATCAATCAATCAGATTCCAAACTCTCCACCATGGCCAAGACCAAAGAGCTCTCCAAGGATGTCAGGGACAAGATTGTAGACCTACACAAGGCTGGAATGGGCTACAAGACCATTGCCAAGCAGCTTGGTGAGAAGGTGACAACAGTTGGTGCGATTATTCGCAAATGGAAGAAAACCAAAAGAACTGTCAATCTCCCTCGGCCTGGGGCTCCATGCAAGATCTCACCTCGTGGAGTTGCAATGATCATGAGAACGGTGAGGAATCAGCGCAGAACTACACGGGAGGATCTTGCCAATGATCTCAAGGCAGCTGGGACCATAGTCACCAAGAAAACAATTGGTAACACACTACGCCGTGAAGGCCTGAAATCCTGCAGCGCCCACAAGGTCCCCCTGCTCAAGAAAGCACATATACATGCCCGTCTGAAGTTTGCCAATGAACATCTGAATGATTCAGAGGACAACTAGGTGAAAGTGTTGTGGTCAGAACTCAACTCGCCGTGTTTGGAGGAGGAATGCTGCCTATGACCCCAAGAACACCATCCCCACCGTCAAACATGGAGGTGGAAACATTATGCTTTGGGGGTGTTTTTCTGCTAAGGGGACAGGACAACTTCACCGAATCAAAGGGACGATGGACGGGGCCATGTACCGTCAAATCTTGGGTGAGAACCTCCTTCCCTCAGCCAGGGCATTGAAAATGGGTCGTGGATGGGTATTCCAGCATAACAATGACCCAAAACACACGGCCAAGGCAACAAAGGAGTGGCTCAAGAAGAAGCACATTAAGGTCCTGGAGTGGCCTAGCCAGTCTCCAGACCTTAATCCCATAGAAAATCTGTGGAGGGAGCTGAAGGTTCGAGTTGCCAAACGTCAGCCTCGAAACCTTAATGACTTGGAGAAGATCTGCAAAGAGGAGTGGGACAGAATCCCTCCTGAGATGTGTGCAAACCTGGTGGCCAACTACAAGAAACGTCTGACCTCTGTGATTGCCAACAAGGGTTTTGCCACCAAGTACTAAGTCATGTTTTGCAGAGGGGTCAAATACTTATTTCCCTCATTAAAATGCAAATCAATTTATAACATTTTTGACATGCGTTTATCTGGATTTTGTTGTTATTATGTCTCTTACTGTTCAAATAAACCTACCATTAAAATGATAGACTTATCATTTCTTTGTCAGTGGGCAAACGTACAAAATCAGCAGGGGATCAAATACTTTTTCCCCTCACTTATGAGTGAGTCTAGG